TATTGAAGAATCCTTGCATCCTTGGGATAAATCCCACTTGATTATGGCGTATGAGCCTTTTAATGTGTTGTTGTATTCTCTTTGCTAGTATTTGTTGAGGATTTTTGCATCTATATTCATCAGTGATATTGGTCTGTAATTTTCTTTTTTTGTAGTATCTTTGTCTGGTTTTGGTATCAGGGTGATGGCGGCCTCATAGAATGAGTTTGGGAGTGTTCCTTCCTCCGCAATTTTTTGGAAGAATTTGAGAAGGATGGGTGTTAGCTCATCTCTAAATATTTGATGGAATTCAACAAATTCCATCAAACATTTAGAAGCCATCTGGTCCTGGGCTTTTGTTTGTTGGAAGATTTTTAATCACAGTTTCAATTTCATTACTTGTGATTGGTCTGTTCATATTTTCTATTTCTTCCTGATTCAGTCCTGGCAGGTTGTGCATTTCTAAGAATTTGTCCATTTCTTCCAGGTTGTCTGTTTTATTGGCATAGAGTTGCTTGTAGTAATCTCTCATGATCCTTTGTATTTCAGCAGTGTCAGTTGTTCTCCTTTTTCATTTCTAATTCTATTGATTTCTGTCTTCTCCCTTTTTTTCTTGATGAGTCTGGCTAATGGTTTATCAATTTTGTTTATCTTCTCAAAGAACCAGCTTTTAGTTTTATTGATCTTTGCTATTGTTTTCTTTGTTTTTATTTCACTTATTTCTTCTCTGATCTTTATGATTTCTTTCCTTCTGCTAACTTTGGGTTTTGTCTGTTCTTCTTTCTCTAGTTCCTTCAGGTGTAAGGTTAGATTGTTTATTTGAAATTTTTCTTGTTTCTTGAGGTAGGCTTGTATAGCTATAAACTTCCCTCTTAGAACTGCTTTTGCTGCATTCCATAGGTTTTGGATTGTCGTGTTTTCATTGTCATTTGTCTCTAGGTATTCTTTGATTTCCTCTTTGATTTCTTCAGTGATCTCTTGGTTATTTAGTAACATTGTTTAGCCTCCATATGTTTGTATGTTTTACATTTTTTCCCCTGTAATTCATTTCTAATGTCATAGCATTGTGGTCAGAAAAGATGCTTGATATAATTTCAATTTTCTTAAATTTACTGAGGCTTGATTTGTGACCCAAGATGTGATCTATCCTGGAGAATGTTCCATGTGCACTTGAGAAGAAAGTGTAATCTGCTGTTTTTTGGATGGAATGTCCTGTAAATATCAATTAAATCTATCTGGTGTATTTGTAAGTTTCATATTTAGTATTTTACAATCTTTAATCATGTGAAATTTTTCATCAATTTCTTCTAGTTGCATATTAAAATTATTCTAGTCCCTTAAAAAAAAAAAAGAGCCCTGAGTCTTAAACACAATACCCTAAAAAAAAATGAGTTGATACTAGTACATGTGATTTTAGAATCAGTGGGAATGCACAGGAATGAAGCTGTTTGCTTTGTTGTTCAGGGAAAAGATTGTTAATTACTTTTAGGCTCCCATGACAACTGGCCAAAGAACTACAGGAAAAACTCAAAGAAGCAAATTCAGGTATCTTCAATCTTAAGTATTTAGTAAGTAGCAATAGATAAAGCAGCCAGTGCTAATGTAGAATATTTAGGGCCAAGTTAAAAAAAAAATGAATACATTTTTTTCAGAAGTTTCTTTTTCTTTTTCATCTTATATTACATGCATAGTTTTTTCCAACTTTTGTTCTAGAACAATTACTATAATTCACCAATGAAAAGAAAACCAATATTTTCTGGAGGTAGAAGTAAATAGATTTTTGAGAACTTACTCAAAATCAGTGATGGAAACAACAATTACACTAGGTAATAAGTGTAATAGATCTGAATTTTCCTTATTTAATGTTCAAATCCATGGAAATCTAATGAAAAATTTATTACTCTTCTGCAATTTGCAATTGACTTCTTAACTTCTCATTCCCGACAAATCAAGAAACTAAGCCAGACATGAAGGAAGTTTTAGTATTTTCATCTGCTGTTGGACTAAAGGCTTTCCTTTATTAATAACTTCTAATAATGTATTTTATTAGGATCATACCTTATAATTTACTAAGAGCCTTCACACACATCCACTCATTTTACACTTCCTGCAAATCTGTGAGTAAAATATTTTATACATATAAAGAAATATATATATATAAAATCAAATATAAAGTCCCTTAAGCAGATGAGAAAACCGAAACTCAAAGAGATCTGTGTGACCCTCTAAAGTAGCAAAACTTATAAATGGCAGAACCAGAACTCTTAGTGCAGAGATTCTAAAATTCATTAGTTTTACCGTCACACACCATTAACTGTGTACATTTTAACACAGATGTCAAAAACCATCACTAATTATTAACCTACTTACCGCCCCTCTTCAATGTGTTTCATCATCCATAATCTGGCAAACAAGAAATATCATGCACTTACAGCTAAGCAGAAAATGCTTTAAACCCCCAACCTAATTTTGGAGTACCAGTTTCCCTCACTGCCATTTAAATTCTGTGGCATTTTGATGGATAAAGTCTGGCAAAACTCACCTCTTTCTGACGGTACTTAATGGCCAATTTGAGTCTCGCGAGGTCATTTCCACTTTGTTCTTCTAGGAGACTGTTGTCATCGCGGTAATTAAGAATGATTTCCAGCTCGCGGGAACTTCTTGTCTGATCCAGTAGGTCCTTAGCAAATTGTTTGCACTGTCGTGACAGCTCCTCATACTCTGACTTGAATTCATTTTCCACCTTACTCAGTTCCTGGAGCTCCCAACTTAACTGAAAGGCTGTGAGAAAAGGGTCTTCACTGGACAGGGCGATGAGAGAGGGGCTGGCCAGGGCCTTGTAGATGTTGAGTCTGGAGCGGGAGTGGCGGAGACTGTCCACGTCCGAGCTGGACACGCATTCGACGCAGTTGCAGCGGACCTCGTGGGGTCTGGGCACCGAGACGCCTTTCTGAACCAAAAGTTTTATTATCTCGTAATTATTTGTATGGGCTGCCAAAATGATGGGTGTAATGTCTGGAGTGAATTCAGAGAACTGCTTATCAAGGAGTATGGGAGGCACCTAGAAAAAAGAAAGCAGAGGTCGTGAGTAGTAACGCATTTGCTCAAGCCTGTGAATTTAAACAACGCGCTATAGCAATGTTGAACAAGATTCATAAGTCTTTTGTCAGGTTTTTGGTTTTTTTGCAGGAGAGTTAGGGCTTTTTTCCCCTCAAAAGACAATAGAAAATTAAACAAAAACTAGCTCTGCAATAGAATGACACATTATTCTTTGTTCAATCCAAATTGTGACATTTCGTGATATCTTAAACTCAGTGCCTATGGAAACTCTTTGATAAAAGACTTCCTTGCTCCCAACTTATTTTCTGGCTGACAATCTTTGCTTTTCTTCCCCAGTGATATGGGCTCCATAAATAATAAGAAAGACGCTACAAAATAGTTAATGATTTGTTTTAAACCCAAGATCTTCCTCTGCAATAGAAGGTTTTAAATTCTTCAGTCAGGTTTTTGCTTGTTTGTTTGTGTTTTATCTTCTGCAGTCCTAAGATCCACCCTGCGATTACAGGTGGCAGTGGAACGCAAGAGTGCTAGCCCCTCTGCTTTCTGTTTTCATCCATTCCTTTATGGTATATTTTCCAGATGACAAGAGGTGCTCCATTCTAACATCGCTGTTATTAGAAATAAATGCTTCCTGTGGAAGAACCTTAAAAACATTATGCTAAGTGAAAGAAGCCAGTCACGAAAGATCACATATTGTATGATTCCATTTTTATAAAATATGCAAAATAGGCAAATCTGTATACGGAGGAAGTAGTGATTGCCTAGGCTTGGGGGTAATGGAAGGAATGGGAGGTGACTGCTAAAGGACACAAAGTTTCTTTTGAGGGTGATAAAAATGTTCTAATATTGTAGTTATGGTTGCACAACCCTGTGAATATACTAAAAATCACCGAATAGTATACTTTAAGTGGGTGAATGTTATGGTATGTGACTTATATCGCAATAAAGCTATTAAAAAAGAAGAAAATAAGAAAGAAATGCTTCCCAATGAATCAGGTCACCAATGCGATTATGAACAATTTCCTTTGGGTTATACTCTAGGAATGGTAATGACAAAAATAATTTAATAGGCACTATTTAGTAGGCCTAAAGCACATCCACCCTCACTATTCATTATTCACATTTTATAGACATGGTCTCTCGCTGAGTAAGTGGGAATCCTGCTATTTGAACCTAGGTCCATCTGTCTGACACTCAGGCCTGTACGTACTGCACTACACCCTGCTGCTTTACAATTTTTGGTTTAGTATTTCTTCCTGCTGGTGCAAAGTCATAGAGGCCTCTATGAAAATAAATGCTACATAAAGACAAGTTAAACAGGCATGGCAGAAAAAGTGATGACACGTCACATTAAAATATGCTGCTGGTCAAATATGATTAAAACCACAGAAGGATCAAAAGAAACAACTATGTAGAGAAAATCGAAAGTCATAGGAAACTTCAGTAGCACTACTTTTAAGCAGAGGTGTTATCTTTATATGAGAATAATTAAACTCAAATGCTTTTAATTCATCTGGCCATTTTGAATATCCATTTATTTCATAAGACACACACACACACACTATATATATACATATTTTTAAGATATTCAGTATTTTATTTAATTTTTTAGAAGACAATTTATGTATTTCCCCCACCCCTTCCTTTAAGTTAGTGTGACAATTTTCCACAATAAAGGACTTAAAGGAAGCTTTGGTCAAGAATGGAATGAAATAGCAAAACAAAACTCAAAAAAACCCCAAATCACTACTGCTTTTTAAAAAACCCCATCACTTTCACCAGTTATATTCAAACAAAACACATAAACTATATATACTTAACAGACAGCAGTCTGCTGGGACTCTGACAGGTCAGCCTAGCAGGCACATGTGATTGTTTATCCAGGTTCCAGAGGGTAAGTAAGCATTGCATTGAAAAATAACAATAAAACAAAAACACTTAAACAATTGCCTGTTATTGAGTGCTAATTACACACCTGAATCAAGTATTACATGGAGTCTGAAAATTGGGGGTTTTCTTGTTCTTCCATCACTTCTAAGTTTAGTAATTGGCATTCTTCTGTATGTACAACTTTGCTCTCTTCTCCTCTTAATTATTGAGTATTACTAATGAACCCATGGATTCTTCCTTTATTTTATTCAATATATTTTGATTCATTGCAATAATTATTCATTTTGAACTTGTTATTGAGGTATAGCATACATACATACAGTAAAATGCACAGAGATCAGTGTACATCTTGAAACCTTTTTTAAAACGTGAACACACCTGTGTGACAAGACACAGACAAAAATCTAGATGAGGACTTCCCTGGTAGCGCAGTGGTTAAGAATCTGCATGCCAATGCAGGGGACACGGGTTTGAGCCCTGGTCCGGGAAGATCCCACATGCCCCAGAGCAACTAAGCCCGTGCACCACAACTACTGAGCCCGCATGCCACAACTACTGAAGCCTGCGTGCCTAGAGCCGGTGGTCCACAACAAGAGAAGCCATCGCAATGAGAAGAAGCCCATGCACCGCAACAAAGGGTAGCCCCCGCTTGCTGCAACTAGAGAAAGCCCACGTGCAGCAACGTAGACCCAATGCAGCCAAAAATAAAATAAATAAATTTATAAAAAATAAATCTAGAAGAGTTCCTGCACCCCAGGGACCTCCCTCTTGTCACCTCCCAGTCATTCCATTTTGTAATCACAAATCTAACTGCTGTCACCACAGATTACTTTCACATTCTTTTTAACTTTATATAAGCAAATTAAAGTATGTACTTTTTATGTCTAGCTTTCTCCATTCCACGTTAGCTCTTTGAAATATATTCATATTGTTAGTAGCAATCGTTTTTGTTACTTCAATTCTGCATAATATTCTGGTTTATGAATATAGCACAGTTTATTTACCATTCTATTTTTGATGATATTTCTGTGGTTTCCAGTCTGTGGCTATTCAGAATATTGCTCCTATGCACATTTTTGTCCATGTCTGTTGGTCTTGTATCTAGCAATGGAATTTCTGGGTCAAACAATTTTCTGAAGCAGTGATACCAATTTTCATGCCCACCACAAATTATACTTGGTATTCCCAGTTATTTATCTATCAATCTATCTATCCATCTATTTATTTACACCACTCAACTTGTTAAGCAATCATTTTGAATTGGATTATTCATTATTTATTATCAGGGTTGGGTATTGAATTTGTCTAAGGCCTTTTATACTTCTCTGAGGATAATCATAATTATTCTCCTTAGTCCTAAAAATATGGTGCGTGTGCACACAAGCCCACACACCTGCATACACACACACACACAGTATAATACTATGCAAATGGTTTTAGCATAAAAAATTAGTAAATTCCCTAAGGAGAGTATGAATAAAGCAAAAGGGAAATGAATTTAGAGAAGACGTTATTTTTACTTGGTAGAATTAGAAAAGGATTTTAGGAGGAATTTAAACTTAACATTGGTTGGAACTAACAATGTAGAAAAGTTACAGGAAAAATGACAACAAGAAGAAAATAAGAAAGATGGATTCATAGCAAATACTTTCTTTAGAGTATGGGATAAATCATATAGAGATAAATAATCATAAAATGCGTCAGTGTAGATCAGGGCAAGATGAGGGAAGGTTTTGAATCGCATTATTTTGTAGACATTGGTGGAATCATACAAGAATTGAACCAGGAGAGTGATGGAGTAATTCCAAAGTATTAACGTCACGCTAGCATATTTTGATTCTTGAATTAAGAGGCAGATGGGTAGAGGCAGATAATGGAGCCTGGTAACGAGTGCAGTCTGAACTAGGGTTGTAGCAATGGAAAAGGAGAGGCTGTGCGTATGACCCATCAAGCGGTGCTGGGGGTGTGAGAGAGAACAAGCACGGGATAGAACAATTTGAAGCAAAGATATCAGAAAATAAGAGAGGTCTAGTCCAGATGCCCGGAGATACCTTCCAGTTCAGATTTCACTTTCTTTAATGTCTACTTTTCTGGGAGGGAAAGCTGGTCAACAGAACTAAACAATTCAGAGTTCCATTACAGAATGGCCATGTGCTAATGGCACATTTGCAAAATCTTGCCCTGAAAGGGGACTTTCAGAGAAGTCCTGAATCAAATAAGGGCCAATGAGCTTTCCCCTCTCTTCGGTCTGTTAGCTGGTTATGAATAACAATTGATAAAAGGTCACTTCTTACTGACTTCATTGGAAAGGTGAGAGTGCCACCCACATGACCTCTTGCCTTGGAAGATGGTGACATTGAAGACAGGAAGAGGGCAGCAAGCTGAGAGACTGCTGTTTGCTGAGCTCCCGCAGCTGAGAAATTTATCTGTTGAATAGCCACTTTGCTATCTACTAAATACTCAGAAATTTAAAGAAGTTTAAAATATAAGGCATTTGATCTCAGAAACATTTAGAAAATGCAGAAAATGGGCTTGCTCCCTCTTTTTCATGCTTCATTCACCAGTCTGTTTTCTGTCTCCATCCTGTGCTTCGCTTTATTCAATATTTTCAATATGCAACTCTTCATCTTTCCTTCTGTGGTGCCAACGTTACAAGTGAAAAGCATATTTTTCTAGCATTAAAATAAATAAATAGGTCACTAGAAGTGCTTGGTAGCTACTACCTATAAATGGTTTTGATAGAAATATTGTATTTTTCCAAATTTTTCAAATTTGCCATTTGGCATATTTAAGGATAGATATAAAGATCATGAGGATAACCCTGTAGATAAAAATCACACTATGCTTGACTTATTTTAGCTGAAGTAAACTCTACAGACATAAAAACACTACTCCTAGGCAAACATACATGCATGAAAATGTATACTCACATTACTCGTAAACAAACAACACACTCCACCGTTTAACAAATTCCACCTGATTGAATTATACAGTTGACCCAGTAATCTACAACTAAGTAGAAGAGGCAGGTAAAAGAGGATCTGGAAACCAAATTCATGTCCCTGTTTCTTACGTTGCGTAGCTGGAAGTTTGCTCTGGCTTTTCTTCTGT